GAGTATAAGAAGTGGATTCTGATACATGTAGCATCACAGGTTATAAAGTTATTATGAGAGAAAATCAGAATTTCTAGAAAACCTGATAATAGACAAAAGAATGATATTAAGCATGATGTGACAATAAGTGGAATATACTATATAACAATTATCTTATTTGCACATGTTTTGTTTCCAAGCTGAAGTCTGATTACTTACTGTTTTAGCTGCGTGAACAGATGTCGGGAAGATAGACATTCAAATGAACTACCTATGACCATCTACAAGACAAAATTTAACATCAAAGTTGTTTCCCTTCGACAAAGAACACTATTTTCCCAGTCTTGGATATATTTAGCTTAACTAGACCCATTTTGACAAGAAATAAGAGTTGTTCCCCTTTGATGTCAAGAAGTAAATCTTACCCATTTTCACTAACTAAGCATTTCAGTGGACAGATTAATCAGCCTATTCAATTCTATTAAGATTTTAGAATTCAACTCATGGTCATATTAATAATGTTGAGCAAGCCAGCTAATTACTAGTATAATTATCGATAAATTTACCCCTACCCCCACAAAAAAAGAAAATGGGATTATAATGAAAACAACAGATCCTATTTGTGTAATTCAGGAATAAAACGAAATATCATAAATGCTTATTACCATTTTTTTCAATTTATTAAAGGAGAATCTATGGTGGGGTTATGACAGTGAAATCTCAACCCAAGGGATATTTTTTATTGTGTTACCCTTGGCTTGTTTCAAAAAAATATCACACATCAGGTTGAGATTTTTCTATCTCTTCTGGAGTCTATTAATTATTCAAGATTCTACTATTGGTTTGGTTTGTTTGTGTTTCATGTCCTATCAACAGCTATGGTCATTAAAGGACGTGTCAGGTTTTGATGGTGGAGGAAAGTCAGAGTATCTGGAGAGAAACCACCGACCTACGGTCAGTACCGGGCGACTGCCCCACGTAGGCCTCGAACCCGCAACCCAGTGGTCGAGAGCTAGTGGTAGCCGAGTGGTTAAGGCATCTGACATTCTGCTAGATTCTACATATGTCCTTTTATGTACTGTTGATACACAATTCTATCATTGAACTTTAGGTATAACTGGGAATGGATTGGCCGTTGCACATACAAACATAACCTGGAAAGGGGGATCATACTCATGTTGTCACTGGTGTGGGAAGGATGTCTGCTTTGAGCAGAGGATGAGGGGTATAAACTTACAGAAGGTCGAGACAAGGCGGAGTGGATGGCGTCCAGCAGGATGTCAAGTAGCTGTACCAGAGACTTGGAATTCTGTACTGGATACAGGATGTCTGTATCTTGTACAAATAAATATTCAGTTTAGTACAGTACATACTTTACACATAAACACATATTGACTCAATTTGACTCACACAATTTTTGAAAATTCATTAATTCTACATAGAATGACTCATGTACTGCTTTTCAGAAGTTGATAGGAAATGGTTTAATCTGTAAAAATTGTAGAAAAGCAACGTAATGTATAAATAATTTTCACAATTATTGAAATCTATAATGAAAACTGTTTATGTCAGGTTTTTAAATCATCATCTAAAGATAAAAAACACGAGAAAACACTCACACAATTTCAGAAGATATTAAAAAGTATCTATTGATATTTTGAAATTTGGCTAAATGGCATGACAACAGTATAATATGAACAATTAAGTTGTCATCAATAAACCAATATATGTATAATTTGGTCAGAGAGTACAATATGACTAAGGGGTTAGAGGCTATATCAGGAGAGTTCCTCACCTTTGAGATGATAACAGCCCTTCTGGAACTGTACCCAGGGATTAGACGAAACAGTAGGTGGATAATGAAGGTCTTCACGCTTCAAGTACTGAAATATTTAAAAGTACCTCAATTAAACAACAGTCCAAACTCAAGATTGAATTGAAACCTAAGGTAACCATATTTTTTCTGTTAGTTAAAGCTTTTTGATAAGTTCTTAGTTTTTGTCCAAATTTATTTCCTCATGATTTATTTGTTTATTGTGGTATTTCTTTTACTTCAATAACAAAGAACTTCTGGATAAATGGTAATAGGTTTTTAAGGAGGTACATAAAGCTATATTTTTTGTAATTTAAAAGTATATTTACTAAAACACATTTAGATCTTTTTAAGAGACAGAGGCGATAATGCTTGTCTGAAGGAATAATTAAGATAAAACTTACAACAAAGTTTGAAAATCTTCAAGACAAAGACGTTTCTAAATGCAAATTCTAAAACCTTATTGCAGAATGTCAAATGGCATGAAAACATCTATAGTTCTCGATATGTTTAACTGACCTCTGGAGTAAGCATCCTCTGTAGCGGCCATAACATTTTCTGAAGTGTTATTTACATTTAATGAGACCTACAGCTGCGAGTGCTATCTGAGGGATATGTCTGGTATTGAATCTCTCAAAAGATTCATGGTGAGTAGGAGATGACTTATCAGGATAGAACCCAGGCTGTTGGCATGAAAATCAACTAATTTAAGCACTGGACCAATAGGTCCATTGTCACACTTTTTACCTGTCCAACTTTTTCCAGTTTGAACCCCGATTTACTGTTGTGGTCGTCCATCAGGTCGGCTATCGATATGTCTTCCTCATCGTGATTATCCTACACAAACAGAAACCCGTATTTTGTTAGTAAAATGTTTCATCGATTTCAGTAAATGTCATTGACAACTAGATAATATTTGCAAACTAAGCTTATGCCATGGCTCCCATCTTTGATGGAAATAGAGCTAAATGCAATGTCTAACTAAACAGAGAGATAGAATTAGTGGGCAGGATGAGTCAAAAAGTTACCAATTAAATTACATTCATAAGAGTTACATGTACATCATATTACAAAGACAAATACCAATTATTTTGACAAAAGATTTATTTGTGTAAGGTGGTGCTGACGTCTCTGATGGTACTTACCAGGGTAAAATGAGCAAAATTATCTCTTAGGAACTCTGCTACAAAGTTGATGTCATGTTGTGTCATCTGCAAAAAGAAAATTGTTTGAAATTGCAGCCAATGAAAAATGTTACACAAAAGATTCTCAGGAAAGATTCAATTACCTTTCTAACACACAACGCTACCTTAAATTATCGACAAAAACCATTGATTTTTAACAAACTGACACTGGGATGCTATAGAAGCTGTAAACCTTTGATCCTAATACATTTAACAAGTTGTGTTCCCTTGCTGCCAATTCTACATTTACAGTACTCTACTTTGCCTTGGCAGCAAAAGAAAGTTTCTTGAAGGAGAAATGAATGAAACATCATTCATTTAGAAGTATTCAAATAACATTTTTTGTATAAATATTTAGACTTATCTTTAAGTCCATTTACAAGTATACAAAACACCACTACTCATGTCAGTGTTTTAACAGCGATTACCTTACTAAGCTCTGCAGGAGGTTTTTCATTGGATAGCCTCAGAATAACTGCAATATGAAACAAACATTTAAATTAGACAAACACAGTGTTGATTTGATGATCCTCACTACAATACTGTCAGATGTATCCCATTCCTAATAGAGTTCACAGTTGAAAACAATATGTGCAATATTGTACAAGGTGAGAAAAAGGTATAAAGGGGATTGTCAGGAATAGGCTAAGGGAGATATGGCCATATAAAGGGGAGATAATCAGACAAAAGGGGAAGGGATATAAAA